TGGGTCCCGGTCCCTTATGGGCTTGTTACCTGGGAGCCCTCTTCGATTTCTGCCTCAACTGCATGGGGAAAAATAATGCCGCCCGTACCAATTTATTTATTATTTATTACCATTTTAAAGAGGGTGATCCCTCAATAAAACATACATACAATATGTAAAATATTAAATATTCAAAAGGAAGATAAAAATAAAAAATACATTAAAATCTGTTGAAACCTGACAAATAAAAAATACAGAATTCGATTTAGAGTGCAGAGGATTCAAATAACAGGCACTTTAAATCGAATTCTGTATTCTTTGAACTACATGGATTAGTAGTCATACAACGCAAAAGCAAATTATCGAAAGTTGGAATTAATAAAGACCGTGCCCCATCTTAATGATGTTATTTCAGTTTTCATTTCCTTGTTTCGATTTGTTATATTTCACATTTTGAGGGCGTTCTACTAACTCATGATTAGGCCTGGATGTATCACTGAAATGTACATCTCACAAATGCATTTATATACAAGCATAAATTTGGTCAAGTATAATAACGTTATCAAAAAGTAAATCAAAAGTTGAAAGCAAGAGCATCTCTTTAAGATATCATATACGGTATGCAACCAAATACAGGTCACATTCTTTGCTTTTCTATTATTGATGCTTTGAATGTTTAAATTTTATTCCGTTTTTTGTATATTTTATGTTTATATATATTTTATCATATTGTTGTTGACCAGGGGTTTAGAGATGACCACTTGTTGTATTGGGTTTTAGCGCATGTCATCTCTAGTCACGCCCCTGGTCAATATGTATTTATATATCTATCGTGACGAATTTTTAATAAATAAATAAATATTGCGATTTCAAAAAAATATAAAATTTTAGTTTTGGGCCACGAACAATGGAAATTTCGGAAAAGAAATAAAATTGTTTATTTTTATTACGCCATCCGCTCTCCTTAAATTTCCCAAAAATACGATATATATAATATAATATACCGTACAGTATTTCTTCCTTAATTAATTTTAAAGCATGTATAATTCACAGTACTATACTGTTTACATTCATCAATGCAATTGTATTTTATTTTCTCCTCCGCATGCTTTTAGAAATATCATTTTGGTAAAGAAGAAGACAAATTTTAATTTTATTTTTCAGCCTTCCTCTAACGAATTTTAAATAAGTTTACTAAAAATGGTATTAAAAAGTCTCGCCTGCATTGTTTGTGTTCACAGTTTGATCTTAATGTAATAGTTTACATAAGTTTTCAGAGGTGCTCATTAGCCTTTAGATGTATATATTATCTTTCTATCTTCCTATGGTTTGTATATTGACCTTTCTACTCCCAAGTTTCCTGACCTGCCTCTATTCTAGTCATCATTACAGTTTACAGAATGGCGTTGTAAGAATTAGGCCTATCGTTGTTATTAATATTCCTATGGGCCTATTTGAATCATCTGTACTCTAATCCGATAAATTGCCTGCATGACCTAATAGTCATATCGAAAGTTGGAATTAATGCGGACCGTGCCTCATCCTATTGATGTTATTTCAAGTTTCCCGTCTTCCTTGTTTCGTTTTGTTGATTATTTTTCACATTTTGAGGGCGCTCTGCTAACTCATGATTTAGAATTCCCATAATTATTATCATGATTAGAAAGAGTAGAAAAAGTACTTATAGAATAGGCCTTAGTTATAATGTAATAATGTGAATGATCATATAAATTTTATTATATCATAGTGTTCATATAGTAAGAGATATACGGTTATCTTGATCAGTTGTCTTTACATCGGCTTATCAAACATATTTTCGAATAAAACAGGACTGTGTTTATATTCATATAGGCAGAGCAACTACAGACTTATTAACCGCCATGTAGGTAGGACAAGACTCTACTACAGGCCTCCAACAATCGAGAACCTTTAGATTGCATTGGTGGCAGGACATTTATACGTATATTATTATGTAATATATCAATAATTCTTTATTAAGCTGAACATGAAACTAATATAGTTTAATAACAATTTATCCAATTCCATTTATCACAATTTAGTACGGTACAGTAAAACAAATTAAAATAATAAATGGAAACGGATAAGTTTAAAAGATGTCTGGGTGGGACATAAATTTAAAGACTGTTTTATGGTAATAAAACATTGAAACTAAAATTAACTACTAATTCTATGTTTCAACCTTAGTATACAAAAAGAAAATTGTAAATGTATATAAGATGCTAAAATAATTATTACATACGAAGGTGGCACTTCAGAGAATAAGGTTTTATAGATAATAACAAAATATAACTGTAAATATGCCACCTCATTCTAGTTCCTAACTATGGCCCAGATGCACGTGACTGAGAATCAAGAATTATAATAGACAACCATGTAATCATTATTATAACTTGACCTATACCATCAGTAGAATTCGATCGTAAAATCAGCTGCCTTCATAATATACAACCGTAAAAAGAACGATGTTTTTGATAGGTGTCTTTATATTAATTAGCCGACCGTGTCGATAGAAATTCTTAGGCCCTATAACAAATTATTAGTTTCTCACCCTATCTAGGCTGTAAAACGGATGAGGTGGTAGGGGAAGGATATTTTTATTTTTTGTTTTGCTAAAGGCAAATATCACCCTTGGATTGTTTACTGGTGTAAATTGATATTAAAAATAAAACATGATTGAGATAACACAAACAATATCTACTAACTATTTAATTCAGAAAAATTAAAAAAAAAATTCAAAAATATGTTTAGTTTATCACCATAGAAACATGCACGCGATGGTGATAAACGTTTTTTTTTTTTATTGAGCCTTAGTATTAATTTGCACTGCCGATCATGCCGAAAGCCTTATTTAAAGAACACACAACATCGTCGTATTTATAGTAAACGCCCCATTTTGATAAACGCTCCCCACTCCCCTACACACACACACACACACACACACATATATTGGGGAAATATTTTCCAATGACGGCGCCAGATATTTCAAGATTGTGGCCTAAAGTTTCTCGGGGAGTACTTTTGAATGAGGGAGGGAGATCCATGGTCTGTGCTCTCCTAATGCGCTATTTTCGCATAAAGATATTTTCATATAAAGAAAATTGTATAAAAAGTAATTTTGACATTTTTTTACTCTTAACTACAATGGCGTAATGAAGAAACATAGACTTCTGACTGATCTATTCTCTATCCTGGGAACTACTCCGTATAGCGTTCCCAGTGGGGTACGGAAAACATCCCACTCGCCCCCTCCCCACCACACCTTTCAGTGTTTTTGACGTTGGCGTATTTGTGTTTCCTACGTGGATACTGCATGCTCCAAGGTCTACCTCGGTCGATTTGGAGTGGAGCAAAAGAGAAAATATTGATGAATATCCCAGGGGCCCAGTTTAGCCAGTAAGAGCCCACTGTTATACTTATATTTTGATAGTTTTTTTTTTTTTTTTGGTTATTTGACGAATCCGGCCGTTCATATTACATGACTGATGCTTTCGTTGGTGGCGGTACACAGAGTGTGGTACTAGGGTACACATGGTGGTGTTGTGTTTTGAAGTTTTTCTAATAAAGTAGAATGCCGAAACGAAAAGAGGTTGTTCCCACAAACGATGCAAAGTTAAGCAACGACGTAAGTTTTGAATATTATATACAGAGTTTTTTCTGAACGTTAGTTGTTAAAAATACTCCAACAAGCTTAAACTAGGCCTAAGCAGAGCTAGCCTAGCCTAGGCCCTAGGCTAGCTAAGCTTCGAGCGCTTACTTTTTTAGGCTAGCCTACACATCATTCATTGCTAGTCACCCTAGGTACCACCATACCATCAGCTTGGCCTAGCTAGGCCTACTGTAGGCGAATGGAGGCATACTTTAGTAGAGGGCAAAGGCCTATTAAAGCCCCATTAAATATATTTAAATCTGCATTAAACACTGGTCTACACTTTACCGATTCGTGAAAAAGGCCTATAGTAATTATCGGGAATTCGATCCAACTCGGCCACAAGTCAACTCGGCCACAGTCAACTCGGCCACAAGTTAACTCGGCCACAAGTCAACTCGGCCACAAAAAGTTTGGCTACAGTCAACTCGGCCACAAGTCATCTCGGC